TACTACTTGATAAACAAAATCAATGAGAGAAAATTTTAGCGAGGAAGAAAACATTTTGATGAAATGAATTATCAAGGACACGAAAAAGCTACACTCGGACTCTTGAAGCAATTATTGTCTTATTGCGTACAAAAAAACAAAAAAACAAGAATACACTCCTAAAAAAGTAACAAAGGAATTTGAGTTTCCCAGCAAAATTATCAAGTTAGTCATCAATAATTTGTGTCAACGCGTTTAAATAAGACGAAAATACAAATATAAAGCCTAAAAACACCAGAGTGATAATTGGTTTTCGAAATCAAATGCCCAACATGCTAAATGTCGTATATGACATTTTCGAAAAACCTGCACCAAAAATTTGGTTTGAATACATAACACCAAAAAACAGGACAAGATCAATTTTGGAACTGTAAGAACAAAAATTTCTTAGCGAGCAATCTTCGAATTTGAGGATTAAATGTATCGTTGGGGATTTAGCGAGAATAAATTATTTAAGATTTGTGCTTTAATTAATGCGACATTTGCAAAAATTTCGAAGAAGCTTGGGTTAATATGAAATGGTAACATCTTCTCGGGCAGAATTCAGATCAGAACATTTATTTTCGGAAAAAGGGATTAAAAATTAGCCTTCCTTATCAAACAATGAAAGCATATCGAAGCTTTGGTGTTGCACTTTACTGTGTTTTGTTTTCATTTGCCTTCCGCCGTATAGTCTGGGCATTGTTAAGACAAAAATCAATGTATCAATTTTTGCCATAAAATGACTGAGCATTAAGACGGATAAATCTAAGATTTTGATCTTACAAAAGATTACAAAGAGATCGAAGATTACAAAAAATACTTGATGAAATTATAAAAATTTGAGTTGATGGTATGAATTTTTCAGCACTATCTCGTGAGCGTCCAAAAGATATTTAGACGAAAGAATAAAGTTGAATAACTACTCAAATTCCCTTACATCTGATTTTTGTAGAAAATGACTACAGGCAAATAATTAAGGCTGTTTTGTTTTCAGTTGAAAATGTTCTGCCAAACATCTGATCGCAGCATTGCACTGATGCCCTTACGTGTTGTTTTTCAAATAGTCGAATATATCTCATGCTATCACGATTAACTAACTCTATTATCCTGTTCACATCTGTTGAGACAAACCCCAAATCCCTGTTTCCCATCCCCTTATCCCTTCAACGCCAACGGCCAACTACCAATCCCCATCTCCTAACCCCCAATCCCTAAACCTCCATTCTCAACCCATGCTGGTTTAAAAACGTGGCCACCTAAATAGTAGAGATATCACATTGAACGGAGGAAAGAGGTGAATAATCTCAAAACTGTCTGTTCATGATCGTGGTAGGGCATCATATAAAAGGAATTTGATGTCTTACGTCACTGCATAAGGGGTCCTCAATTTCAACCAGCTCTTTTTGCAAAGGTGCAGCAGATGTATCAGTCAAATACTGCATGAGAATGTCCAACGCGGCAAGCTCGTAATATTCCTAGAAACAATAAAGAGTATTTATTGTTGCCACTTTTCAACTGTTGCCTTTTACTTCAATGATATGCGAAGTCAATAATAGATGATAAGGTTTGGTATGACAGTCTTAGCTGGGCATGAATCTCAGAATTACAAACTTAAAAATACCATATTCTACAAGTCCAGATAGGATATTGTTTTCTCATTCTGGAGCACCAATAGCAATGTTGTCACCTATTAATTAAATGCTTTATTTATGATTAGAAGAGCCACACCAGTAAAAGGGGGAAAATTATTATGAAAACATTTACTGTAAAGAAGGTTACTGTAAAAGTTTATACTGCTGACTTTCATGACCGCAAAAACGCAAAAAACAAATTTGAGTAGAAAAAGAAATATCAATATATTTTCACCGTTTTATGAAAATTTCAAAAAATCTAAATTATTACAAGGGAAATATTGCAAAGGAAAAAAGTATAATTTACCTGTACATGAGGGCCTCTCCAACCCATCAATATCATGCCATTTGACTCATCTTCCGTCGGAAATTCAACAACTTTCTCTACACTTTCTTCCAATGGCGGCACAGGCGTCATCCATGGCCTTGTAAAATCACCTCTTGCCCCCTAAAATCCAAAAAAAATAATTTTACAAGAAAAAACAAAAGACAGCAAGCCTTGGAAAGGTAACAGAAGAAAACAAGGCTGCCCCTCATTGTCTTTACTTCATGTTAACCACATAAAACATTTGATCAAAGCAATACATGCGTACCTGAATAAGTTAAGAGAGACTCTTCACAATAGCATGAACAAATCAGAAATCTGCAACATTGATTTATTTTTATAATCTTTGTAAAGAGCTTTTAAACCCCAGTTAAGATTAGTAATCTACTGCGCAACATAGATAGTGTTCGAATCGGATATAGATTGTTCTTTATTTTTGCCCAAAAATTAGGCCTGGTTCAAACGTCGCGCTTCTCATGTGCCGAACCTAACTCGAGAATTAAGTACATGAGGGGCGCGACGTTTGAATCAATTTGGTACGGCAGATTTAATTAGGAGCGGCAGACTAGTTTGGATCGGCAGAGCTTGCCGAACTGCACGGCTCCAGCACGGCACGGTTTCAAGCGTCGAACTTGTCATGTACCGAACCTAATGCATAATTATATTTAATTCATTTTCTTTCACAGAAATAATTTCTTTCTTTGAGGGCGCATGCGTTTCAAATAAATATTTGAGATTGTGCGCCTTAACCAAGATACTTCATGTAACAATCCTAAAACCCATTTGGCGCGACTTGATTAAGTTCGACGTTTGAAACGGGAGTCGCGCTAAAGGTGCTCAAGTGTCGCTCCAAACAGAGTTAGGTTCGGCACATGAGAAGTGCGACGTTTGAACCTT